CGAAATAATTAATGTTGCGTTCCTGCTTCGAAATTTTAGTCGAATCTCTGTTCTGATTTGCGTCTTTCGATTTCAAGTCGTTTGAAATGTTTATGCGAAAGAATATTATTCGGTACGATTGTTGCAACGATATCGTTTTTTTTTTTTTTTTTTTTTTTTTTTTTAATTCATCCGCGAGGCCGTAATCCTATCGTGAGGTAACAACTTCACCGCAACGCAACAAAAAAACTAAGCATTGCGGTAAATTCTGAGGCAATCGGCAAGAGAGAGAGAGAGAGAAAGGAGTCAAAGTAAAAGTAAGGAAAGACCGAGAAAAATAAATCTATTATTTCTAATCGAATTTGTTATATATTCTCCAAGTGGTGGATCGAACGAGCCATAATTTCTTCGCTGGGTAAAAGAAAATTTTACTTCTTTTTATTCAACCATCTGAAACATCAGTGACAATCTCTCTACCGTTAAAAATTCATAAAGCGAAATATAGCGAAATACTAAAAATTCTCGAAAACCCACATACATATACATCGTATCACTTACGTGATTTATTATAAAAAAAAAATTACAAATCTAAAAATACCATTGCAAGCGTATCGTCCAAATGCAATTTCCATTCTCCAAAAACCTAGTGAGATAAGACAAGCGAGGGAAATCGTTGATGGCCTTATAAACGGCAATCTTCTCGTGAACACTCGTGCTCGCGCCGCGAATACGGGTGGAAAGGCATCGAGTGATTAGATTACGGCATAAGCGGTTTATTTATCTCGAATGCGACGAGATCAACCGCGCCACGGTGAGTGCAGTTTCTTCTCCTCGGTGAAATGCGAGTTCACTGAGGAGGAATCGGCGACGACCGGCCTTTTTCGAATTATTCCACGACGTCCGCCGCTTTTTCGACGACATTCCGGACACGCGTGAATCGGAGGAACGCGGCGATTCGCCCATTTGGCGACCAACATGGCCGTGAACCACCACCAGTGAGTGTAACGATCTTGGGGTTTTTTTCCCCGGGACAATGCGAAGTTAATTGTTTTCTTGTTCGTTTCATGGAAAAAAAAAATAGACTGAGATTTGAATGAAATAGAACGTTGAGGAATTTAATTTATGCGGAAAATTTGAAAATTGGAGAAAATTAATTAATTAATTAATTCCGGCTCATCGTATGATGAAGAATTTCTATTTATTATTGATAATAAAAGCTTGATTAAAATTAGGTGGGAAAATTTTCTGGAATGAAGTTTTCGAAATAATGCACAACGATAGAGAAGAATATTATATATAATTATATGTAACTGATTGCAGTGTTGAAAAAATACTATAAATTAATATTTTGTAATAAAAAGAAAGGAAAAAATTATTCGGTTATATAAATAATAATACTTAAAACATTTTTCTTTCATCTTTTGAGAGATCTCATCTCGAGAACATATAAGATAATCGTGTTATTTTTACCATTTTATTCATTTCAAAAGCATGAATGCATATTTCCCGTAGAAAGAGGAAAAGGAAATATTCTTACCGGTGTTGAGTTCTTGAATACACGTGCAAATTAACCAATTATCTCAACAAGAAATCGCAAGAAACTTATCACTATTTATTATCGAGATTACCTTATTGTTAGTTTCATACAACGTCATTCTTACCGATACTCGTACAATTACCAATTCTAAATGCATACCTATACATTCAACATTTATCAGTACTTATTAATCAAATCAAAAGGTGATCACAATCTTAATTCACTTATACATTTTTCTTACCGATCATAAACCGCATCACACCCACGCAGTCTATTACCGTGCATATCAATTATTCAAACGAGTCCAAGAAGCACTCGTCATATTATCCCCGCTCATAATCGTGGCGTAAAAAACGCCATAACCGACGATCGACGATCAAGGATCGAATTTAACCGATCGTTTGATCGAACGAAGAAAACACATCGTCGTGTCGAAGAGAAACACGGTTAATTAATCCCATCTCCTTGCCCTATTAGAGAGAGACGCGTATGCAAATAAAGCTGTCGCAACAGGGATCGCGTATCGTAATCGTGGAAAGTGATCGATCGAACGGCAGTGCTACATCAGTCTCGTGGATTAAACGCATCTCTATCGTCTCGTCCAAACGAATGATCGAGCCGGATAGAACGTTTATAGGCCTCGCGTGGGCGTGTTACGTCAATAGAAGAAATTGATTGAAACTGGAGAAAACGATGAGCATGCTTTTCGGATGAAGAGTATCGCGTTTATGCTGAGATATCAAACTTTCGGAGTAGATTTTCAACGAATTTACTTGAATTTACTTTCAGTTAAGCTGAATCTGTTATTATAAAGGCACGTATGATTGTATTGTCAGTGTGATTGTATTATTCAGTTTGTAAGAAAGGAATTTGTTTATAATGATTTGTAGTTTATTTCTCTGTCCAAAGTATTTATTGAATAAGATTTATCTTTGATTGTATGTTTTGTATATCACAAGAAGAATTGTGATAATAGGATAAATATAATTCATTTGGATTGTGAAAATTTTTTTAAAGATTGGAAAGATAATAAAATTTGTTTAAAAATGAGGTCAATTTTAAGTAAAGAGATATCTGGATACCTATATAAATTTATCTGGATAATAATATTATTTAGAATTTCGGATAGAAAATGATTAATCAATCAAAAAGAAGGAGAAGATTTTGTATTATATTACGTGTGAATGGAGGATAGTCGAAAAGGAACTTTTGAATTAAAATTCTGATCTCGTTTGTTTGATCTTGTTGACTGATTTTTTTTTAATGCGTGTACATGATCTGTGAATGAATGGAACGAAAAGAATCGAGCGTGGGATGTTAGGTATGGAAGGAATTTGTTTGCTTCTGTTTCTATATTGCGATGTGGAAGAATAAACTTGATAACTTTCGATTCGAAAGATAAAGATGGAGAATCGCAATTTAAAAATATGATGAACTATTTTTAAAAGTTTTATCATTATTTTAAAAGCGAGGAAGAAATAATTTTTTAATTGAAATAAATTATTTGGAAAGAGCAGAAAGCTGAATTACTGCATCTGTGACGTTTTATTGCATCGCGTTGAATTTTAAATGTCCTTTTTTGTTCAAACCAGTTCAAATCGCAAAGAAAGTGACAGTTGTCACGATAACCCTTTAATATATAACAGACTAATGGTTAAACGTGTCTTATCATTTTTTCAATAACTTGTTTCAATAACTTGAAAGTCTCTTTGGCTAGACGACTTTATCTGAATAAACAAGATTCTTTTCGCCGAGCAATGCCATCATATATGTTGAAAAATGATTAAATAGAATTTACACGTAGAGAAATTTATTAAATTATTAAACTCTTGTACGATAATATTCTCGATTAACATGGATTGGCATATGGATGAAAGTTGTAAATTAGTAGATTCTTTTTTCTTGCTTATAATTTTTACTTTAAATTTATTATTTATTATATTTATCAGATAAAATTATTAAATGAACGAACAAAGCGATGAACAATCAGATTATAATCCGATTAAAGTATTAAATTTTTATAAATTTTTCACAACAAAAATATTTGATGTCATGGAAAAAAATTTATAATTTTATTATTATAAAACCTACTTAATTAGATGGAGACCTACTTAATTATATAACTGTAATTTATGTAGAACAAATATCGATTCAAGATATGACAATTTCACATTTTTTTAATCAACAGATAAAATAAATATTAATTAGATAAAAAAAAAAAAGATAGTAAAAGAATGGTTATGTGAAATATGTGTATTCATAACATATTTAATTACACATGAGAAAGCCATGATGCACACATGAATAGATCATTAGGTGTGAATTTTTACACTTTATTAATCGGTTTAAAAGAGAAGGATTAATTGGAGCGAAAAGCGACAACGACCGTGAAAGTTAAAATGAAGAAATAATAATACAGAATACCTGATTATTTAATTATCCTGTTTATAGAGAAATACGATTCCTATATCAATTTTTCTTATTTTTTTCCTTTTCTTTTTTAATTATACCTGTTAAGATTTCTGAATTTTTAAACGATCTAAAAATTAAATTGAAAATAGAAATTTAAATTTAAAAAAAATCTTTTGATAGAAAAATTACAAGAATAATATCGAGAACGATTCAAAGGATATAATAGAATTGAGAATTAACTTAATTTCGATATGATTTTAATAAACGATCGTAATATGTGCATTATCGTTAAATTTATGTATTCCTAGATTCATCGCGCGAAAAGTCAGAGGATCAAAAACCATTAATCACTGGCATCGATTAAATCGTGGACCGATTTAAACACGGTTCGAGAAATCGCGTGAAGTTAATGGTTAAACAGTGAACGCGATAAGCGGGTGGAAATATTGATTCGAATCGTGTCATTGAGTCGAGTGGTTCATTAAAGTCACAAAAGTTTCACGTGAAAGATAAATCGTCATCCGTTCGAAGCGAGAAATTGTTGCAAGAAAATTCTCGTACTATTCGTTTTAATGTCTGCTCGATCAAAATACTTGACAGATAGATCGCCGATTCATTTTTAATTAAGTGTCTTTAAATATTCCGTAAAATAATTGAAACTAATTCTATTATAATCCAAAAAAATTCCAAAAATCAAACTCACAAAATTTTGTTCAAATTTCAAACAAGTCTGATTAAATCTCTCGCGACTCGAGAAAGAATCAACAGGTTTGATCCAAACATTATCGAACTTTTACGAATCCAAAAACTTGAAAAATTCAAAAATTAAATAAATCTACACTTCTAATGGATTGACACTAATTCACTAAAAATCTAAACTAAACGTATCCACACGCCTCTACGAATACTAAGAAAAAAAATCAACAGGTTCAAACATCGTCAAACGTTGACGAATCAACAAAAGTATTTTTCGCGTCCAGCACAAAAAGATGAAACGATAATCCAAAATTTTTTTTCATCCCATCCTCCAATCCCGTTGTTAATCAAATTCCAAACTGAACGCGCTACTTACCGGATCATCCAAAAAAAGAATACACCGATGAGTCAAACTCCCACGAGCCAGCCACCCACTTAGTTTCATAAATAAACATAAAAGTTTCTCCCACGTTTCCTCTTCCGTCCCAATCACTCACAAAAACTACCGAGTTCCACCGAGAAAAGGAAAAGAAAAAGAGAGAGAAAAAAAAAGAAAGAAAGAAAGAAAGAAAGAAATATCGACGCGAGGATGATTGAGATGATCGAGACAAAGCCAGGTCACGAAGCCAGGTAAAACGGATCACAGGCAAACTGGCAGTATCCACGAGGGAGCTGGCATACCTAGCGACGACCAGGCGTTAACTGAAAGCGTATGGAGGCCGAGGAACGCCGTCCAGTACACCTGTGTGCCACGGGGGACCCAAGTAGGAGAGAGTGAGGAGAAGGAGAAGAAGGTCGGTAGAAGGAGAGACTCTCTCGATGGCCTTTACGCGACGGATATGTTTATCGTGACAAACGAGACGTGAACAGCTGCTTGGAATCCAATAAGAGGGGGTTGAGTCGATTCGACTGAGACAGAGACGGATCGTTCAAATTTTAGAAAGATTTTTGGGGATATAGAATTGGTGGAGATATAACGATTTTACGGTGCAGTGAGTTGAAAGAATTCGAAATTGAATTTATAAGTAAGTAATTTCTAAGACGATTAATGGTGTTTCTTTTTTTTTTTTTTTTTTAATTGTAATTTGTAATTTTTATTACAATTTTATTTATATATTTGAAAATAAAGAGGGTGAGGAATTTTGTGGTGCCGTGAGTTCGAGGAATTTGAAATTGAATTGATGAGCAATTTGCGAAACAATTAATTGATGTATTTTTAGTCTATTTCTAATTTCTATTTTATATGATGAAAAGTTGTAGGTAGAAGTTTTATAATACAGTGAATTTATAAATTTGTTTGAATAATTAATTATTTTGGTGTAATTATGATTTCTGAACGATTATGATTCTCTACAAGTTTTTCTCGTTTAAATAGGATTGTGTAAGAAATTTCTTCTCGTAATCTTCGAACAAAGAACAAAGAGACACGAGAAATAGATAGAATAAAAATAAAACACGAATACGTAATACCAGCCCCGTTCCCGAAACGCATCGAAGTCGAAAGACAAACGGGCGAAACTCGTTATGAAAATAGTATGAAAAGTATCACGGGCAAAATATGCAAACCTGTTCTCGTCGAGAGAAATGCAACACTCATGGAATGGCCTTTGCTCGAAAGTCGAAGACCTTCTAGCAGGTCCTTCGACCGCCTATCTTTTCCAATGGACAAAAATGGAAGAATCCTCTTGCGTTTTCTTGGAATTAAACCGTGAACCTTCGCGAGGGTTCCACCTGTTGAGTCGAAGAGGCTGCAGGTAATTTATCTCGGGACGTCCAGTCCAGTCTCCTAAAGTAATTCCAACTTCCCTTCTACGACAAAACTTTGATGGAAAGAAGAGAAGGAAAGTGTTGTTCTTTCTCAAAAAAAAAAGAAAAAAAGGAAAAACAATATAACTCGCCTGATAATGTATCCAAGTATAAACAAATGATTGTTCATATATTCCTGTATCAATTTTTTTATTTCATTTTAATGAATTTGAAGTATAATTTTCCAATAATAATAAAGCATAAAAGACAGAGCAAAGTCAAAGCAAAAATAACTTGAAATAGTTTAACCTAACCTCCAAATTGCGACTCACGAATACAAAAAAAAAAAAAAAGAAGAATTAATCGATAATGG